AAAAACCAAAGTGGGGTATTTAAAGCCTAAATTGAGTGTACATATACACCAGAGAGAACAATGTCATAGAAAAGAGTGAATCAATGCCTGTTTTCCAAAGAATGAGGATGACAGACCTTTCTGGAAGTCATGCTGTGACTGAAGTAACCTCAGCAGAAGGGCAGCCACTCCATGGCATCTTTTCCACTAGAGGTCAGGCTGAAGGAGCTAATGATCCATTTTAGCCTTCAGAATCCATGAGTGGGAATTATTAACCAAGATTTGGAAGTCTGARTTTCACTTAAAGTGAATCACAAAGMGATTTTAGATTTCTAACTTTTCAACAGACAGAGATATCTAATCATGGGAGTATTTTAACACGTGAATACAACYTTTCAGAGAGCACTTGACGCCATCRCAGTCGGCAGGACAGCATTTGGAAAAGAGAAAAACTCTTCTTAAACTTCAACCTTGAAATGAAAACTCCATTAGCTGGAATAATAACAGACAACATTCTAGTCACTTTTAAAAGGGTTTMTAAAAGTTCTGCTTTTTATTTTTTGCTTTTAGGAAAGACATAMATTACAAGCATTTTCCATGAAAAATCTAGATTGGATTTGTTTCCGTCAATWACTAGGAATAGACACAGCTAAGCAAGGAATATATGACCATAATGGGCTTCAGGTAAACAGAATTTTTCCAAATCCCAAAGTGATTTGAAGAGTGCAGGCATTTCCTTTTCTGTACTTTGATGACATGCAATTCCATCACTTTCAGAAACAGTGACCCAGCTTCTTGAAATAAATACCTCAAAGGCAGTGAAGCTCCGACATACACTTGTTTCTGAGAATTCAAGGAAATGTTTAATGTATCATTTATAGTTTTAAACACTTTCTTCGTTGTGACAGGACAAAAAGTCATGATCAAACAGCAAGTCCTAGCTCAGAGCTCTTCACCAGTCACCATCTCTCCCAACAAATCATTGCCTTCAGCGTATATGTCTGCAGCTRTGAAAACCAGCACAAAGTAATTTTGGCCAAAGACATACAAGCAGTTACCCATACAGACAAAAACTAAACTGAGGAATCGCTCACATTTACACTTCTGAAAACAAAGCAGTCCATGAAATTCCCTCAGAGATTAAGTCAGCTAACCAGGTTATGCCAGCTGGCATTTTGAAGTGCTTCATGGTCAACTCTTAGAGCCACTTCAAAAATACACAAAGTACTTGGGAGAAGAACACAAAATGCCAGGAATAATGAGCTGAGAAACCCTGTCACTTCTCCAGTCATCTAAGATTAGTGGTGGGAATAAGGGGCATAATGAACAAAAACAAAGAATAGAAGATGATGGTTTGATCCCTTTTTACATGTCAGGGACCAGTCTTTTCTGTACTTTCACCAGGTCAAAGGCAGCAAACCCACTGATAAGAGCCAGTTGTTTCATCAGTTACAGGTTACTTCATTTMATGATTTCGCAATAGAACCTGGTAATAGCAGCCTGAAATCCACATGTGCATGTTATAAAAGGTGAAAATTCAGTTTAGTTCAGTAATAGATTCAACTGATACACCGTTTTTCCTTTGCTAGGTCTCCTGAAATATGCTAACCTTTTAAAATTGACAGCTGTACAACAGGTACAATGCACCTCTACAGGGCAGGGACCAGAGAAATGCAAGAGCTGTGTGACAAGGACCACTTATAAACACTTTATGTGGAACTGGCAGTCAGCTTTTGACAGAATCTGGTAAGGCACATTTCCCAGATTGAACATGTACCCACCCAGATGCACAGATGGTATTTGTGGGAGCAAAGGAAAATAAAATATAGGTTTAAAATAAATGCAAGAGAAACACAGAATAATATTGAATCGCTCTAGGTATTTCTAAGGGTTTCCATTTATCTTTTCCACTTCTCAGCACACAGTGAGTGTATATTCGGGGCTTTGAAAAYCACTGAGCAAATGGAAAGGATTTAAAACAAGTTTTGTTTCAAATGTAGGAACACAAAATTAAAGGCAGGTTCCAGGAATGAGATTTCTGTATAGAAGCTTGATGCAAAAGGCATTAAAAATGCTGTTCCTGCATATGGCTGGCATTGACAGCTAGGCTTGTCAGAAGAGCATTTTCCATGCTAAAGAAGAGGACTTGCTCTGCTGTTGAATTTCAGAGCGGGCCCTCTGCATGGTGGCTACTTTCCCTCTGTTTTAAATGCATGGAAGGACACACAGCTGGGGAGAAGAGTCAAGCTATAAAGCAGTGAGGAAAACAGAGCTTCAAATGCTGTTACCATGATATAAGGAAGCCAGAGTAACCACAGACTGATGAGGGTTGGTGGGTTGACTGTGACAACGATTGGTTTGGGACAATAGTTCAAGGCTGTAGCCTCACTCCTCCACCCTCCATCAACAGTCCTTCTCAAACCAGAAGAGCCAATGGCTTTTGTTACTGTGATACCATCCAAGGTAGCTGCTCTCGAGATCACATAAAAAGCTAGCAGGGAAAGAAGTAACAAGAGCAAAACAGCACAGGCTGGAAGTGGTGAAGATGCAAGAAACACTAAAGCCCGTGTTTCCTGTAGAGTGTCTGCTAATCCAGAGGTGCTGATGTACACTTACTCAGCCTCGTAAGGAGATGAAGCTCCACAATCTCCTGCCATCCTCTTTCTAGATGATCCAACTCTGTTATTTTACTCATTAGTTAGATTTAATTTTTACTAAATCAATTAAAACATCTTCATTTCAAGTTCCACCCTCTCTTCTTTAGTAGATGTGACTTAAACACTACACTTGAATTGCAATAAAAATCCTCTTTCTTTGGATTAAATCAGTGTCTCTGGACTCTTCCCAAGTCCTCCTGCTACCCTTCTGAGTTGCAGCCTCACACAACACTGTATCAAATTCCATGTCACAACTGTGGATAGATAGGAAAGACCTTTAGTGTTATTTCTGGCAGTACTACAAATATTGCTCCCAAGCTAAAAGCAAAACAAAATCTTTGATATCTGGAAACAGCAGAGAGACTTCTCCAGCTCCTCTCTGGGCCATCCCTTAGGGGCACAGCTTCTGGGATAGGAAAGGAAACAGGAAGCCAATTATGTTGTGCTCTGACTTCTGCTATTTAAAACTTCTCAATGAACAACACACTGGATATAAAGACTTTCCTGGGTCACTTGAAATCTTGTGCTATTAGTCAAGCCAGAGCTACTAAAGACCCCGCCCCCCCCCCCAAAAAAAAACAACCAAACAAAAAGAAACCCAGGAAAGTCTTTAAAGAAAATTTTTCAAAGTGACACTCCACAGAAAAATGTAAGCAAAGAGCACAATTTCCTATCAGAAACATATTTATGACACACAAACTAATTATATATGCACATCTAAATTACTTGATATCTACATTTGCAAGTGTCACTCATTTTATGCCGAATTTATTCAAAAATGAAAAAAAAATCCTTTACAAAGGGTCTACACTTTATCCAGTCACAAAACCTATGTTTGCAGGAACTCCAACAAAAACAATTACTTCAAGTTTTCGCTAATGTCTCCAAACAGAATTTAGCACAAATWCTTTCTTTCTTTTTAATCTATTAAATTAAAAGAAATGGAGCTGCAATGGTTTAGGTTTTCTAATCCCACAGTGGATTATACAAATATTTTTTACAATAAGACTAGCAGTGCTGGTTATATCTTACTATTAAGGTAAGCTTTTTTCAAAGAACTGTATGATTGGAATCTCTTCCTGATACRTAGTGACATGCTATTTGCTGGCTGCAGTGAGAAGAGTCAAAATGAAAACAAAAATACAAACAGGCATTTTTTTAAAATCTTGTCTTTATTGATTTAGACTTCAGAGCTACAGCCAAAAATAGTGCATCTGTAGAAAATTATCAAACACGCTATCAATACAGCATCATTGCATGTTTAGAATTGTAAGCACTTGACAAATCGCAGAGGGAACATCCAATCTAGTATTTGGCAGTGCAACCATGAACAGGGAATACAGGAAGAAAGACTCATTTTCCCTCCAAAAAGAAACACTTCTGAATAGGAATAAAAAGCTTCTGATAAAAAAAAGAACTCCAGTTACCACGGAAGACTCRTTGGCTCACTCAAGATATCAACATACAGTGCTGGAAACTGTGTGGAATGTTGAATGGGGCACGGAAGCTACAGCTCTGCTACAGGAGCCACAGTGTCTTCAGGACATTGTATGCCATGGAGAAGGTCACTGAGTAGCCAATTGCCCAAGACAAACCTCTGCCAGGCTGGGGAAGAGGGATCAAGTATGCAAACGTGTGAAAGATCCTAGCCCCAGTGAAGATCCTGAAATGTAGCAAGGCTGAGGACAGCTCAGGGCCACTCAGAGCATACAGCAGTCCAATGCCAACAAATGGGACAATATTCTCAAGGTCATTCAGGTGGCCTCTGGAGAAAGAAGCAAAGTGTTACATTTTGTTGAATAAACCACTTCAAGACTTATGATTTTTCAGCATCATCAGAGCATGCTATTATTCAGGCCCTAAAGCAACTCTTGGCTTCCTCTGCAGAGGGGACTTGAGTCAGCTGCTGAAATGATTTTGGCATGTTCACCTGACATGACTCTGGCCTCTCCTGCTGCACCCCACATTTTTAAGCTTCTGATCCTCTGTACTGAAGGTCTTACTTTTTCCTCAGGGTCTTGGTAATATTAGGGATTAACATGAGGTTTCTGAGCRCACCTGGGTGTGCATGAAAGCAAAGTCAGAAAAGAAGAGAGAGAGCCATTATTTTGTTGCAGCTTCTCTCAATTGAATATCAGTTAACTGAAGGACTGTGACTGAAACTAYTGGAGTTCATGGCCCAGATGGTCTATTCTGATCCCATAAATTCTGTTTGTGGTGTCCACAAAGAGAATATGAAATACCCTACTTAGGAACCATTCCATCAAATGTTCATGAAGTTCCATCAACTTAAAGAAGGTTATTTTTGAACATCTAACAGGTGTGACAGTTACGCTTTTCGTTCATTTTCTTCTCTCTGAGAACTAAAATAGATGAAAAATGTTTGAAATTTTGAAACCATCATATAATTTACTAAAAATGTGTCAAGACTGAACTGCGTATCTTGAAGCGTTCTTTCACACCCCTTCCTAAACCTTCCCAGCTCCCTTCACCTCTTTAGATAAATTATACTTCCAGCCAAATTTACTGATTGTTTCAATCTCTAAACCTTACTAATGATAAATTTCAGAGCCAGCTGGAATCAGGTCATGGCACTGTCTTGCAGCTGCTTTTTAAATGTATTTATCCCTACAAGGAAACATATCCCTCCAGTTTCTTTATTCTTATTCCCCATAAAAGTACTCTGAAGAAAGTAATCTTTTTTCTATACCAATAAACAGAGCACAATCCAGTCACTTATACAGAAGAGAAGCCATATTAAATCTATGTGACATTATCAGTTGCCATAAAGCTTGCAGAAAAAAATATAGTAAACTTTCACTAAGAACCAGTGTTGGGAGGAATATATGAATGCTGCAACACCAACAGAGTAACTAGAACCAAGCTGACTTACTAGGTCTGGGGTATCTGAAAAACTCCACARAACAGCAACACAGTATTTGGTAATAGTGTTTTAAAAATCTAATCTGTGAAAATGACTGAGGTGGTTGTCATTTCTCTACCATAAAAATTTGAGTTAAATGGGCATCCAGTCATAAAGATAGTCTCAATTTAGATGKCCTTTTACAATTTACAAAGAGAAAGGAATTAATCCTCACCAAAAGATTTCCATTTTATGTAACATACATGAAATTAAGCAACAATTGCCTGAACCTCTCAGGGGCAGAAAAGGAAAGAGCAGAACACCTCTACAGCCCACTGAGATTAGACTCTTCTGTCTGAGATTTTGGTCCATAAGAGACATACAGAAATATATGTTGTGAAACAACAGCCATCATCTGCAAGGATGAAGTGTTCTTAAATCAGAGCTGATACATATTTTCAAGATCTTCCCTAGTGGAGGTTTAAATGAGAAGAGTTCACTCACATTCAAGCTTTTGGTATAAAAATAAACTTAGCTTCATCAAGGAATTATCATATGGCAAGCATTCCATTAAAGCTTTCCTTGTTAGCACAGGTCTATCAAACAGCATTTCAAAATTTATGATTTTGGCAACAGAAAATTTTGCCATGAGCTTCATTGACTTATGGTTATATTTTACAATCTTCTCACCACTTTGCCCATGCACTACCCAAGGGCTAGGTGTTATAACCAGACAACGGCTTACCATTTTCAATATGCACGCTGACCATTTGAATGTGGAATGGTTTGTTCATTTAAACTACTTCATATATTATATTACTACATAAAGCAACATGAAACACACCCAGGCTTGACAGAGAGAATGGGATGAAATTAATTCCTTGATTTAATATTATTCTGTTATTTGAAATAACTTTTAAAGTCTACTGTGCATTTACCTGCGTACACGTTCAACATCTGGATCAGTCCTCAGGTATTTCTTAGCASTCTCCCCTTTTCCAAATGTTGCTGTATCTTCTGGGTTGACAAATGCCTGTTTGAAACACCCGCACACAAGAGACATTAGAAGTCAAAACATTTTATCCAGTCAAGGCAGCTTGCTATAAAGGTCATTCTCTTTACCAATGCCTCAATAACTTCACTTAACTTCCTGAAGTTAAAAGCGAAAGGAATAATACAATGTTCATTGCATTACTGTTTTCTTGAATCTACTCTGTACCTAGCTTGCGTGCTGAAAAATTAATATAGCGTAATTTATGCATATAGATAAAGCCTTCTTGTGAGATGGGTGAGCCTACAGTAAAGCCAGTGGGCTGACAGAACATAGGAACCTATAAGGTAGAAGGTCTGTACTGCCCAAGTCTCTATTTCACCATTCCTGACAAATTATCTGAAAGTCCTTTTGGATCCCTTCCTTCTACAGAAGTCTGCTCAGCAATAGCATCCAAAAGCCTTACTCCAATCTTCATTTACGACCAACTAAGTGTCTCCCTTTCTTCTTAGGTGCAAATTCTTCCACTTACATGATCCATTATTACCTCAAAATACTGCAAGACACTACTTAAAACAACATTTAATTCAGGCAGTGCAGGCTGCAGTAGATCTCTCCCTGCTGACACATGCAGTAACACATGCACTCTGTGGACTGTTCAGGCTATGCAGATATAAGTCAAGAAAACCTTTTGATTTTAGGACAGCTACATGATTGCTTACTAGGGCAGCCTTGATTCCTGTTTGTGAAATATCCTCAGCCTCAAAATTCCAGATATGTTAACAGTATCATCAGCAACATTTTACATTCTCTTGCTTCACTGCTTCCTCTGTTTATCTTTCAAGGCCTTTTTTTATATTAAATAGAAAATTTAAATTACTTTACTAATTTTTCTGTTTGCAATATTACTAACATAATAAAACCAAGCACTCCAAATTAATGAGGGCCCTATTGTCATCTGCATCACCTGGATCCATGGAATAGTTCAGCTGAGTTCACTTGCAAGAAGCAGGAATAAAAAGCAGCATTTCAACAAAAGGACTGCATCAAAATCCTTGAAGCACACACCATCTTGCAGAAAATCTCACAAAAAAAAAGCAGCCATCTAAGGCAAACTCATGGCTCTTTCAGCTCAGGACCAAGTGTTTCCTACAGAGGCCGTGAGCAGATACCTAGAGAAGACCAGGAACACGGCAAACACATGTTCCCATGAGCCCTCTCTTCTAAATTAGATGCACCTTCTACATTATTTAGTAAACCTCTGCAGATCTTTCATATTCTTATCTAGCCTACACATTCAAATATTTTTAAATTTGGGGCTTTTCAGATATTTTCAAAATTGAAAATCAAATTTTCAGCCCACCTCTCACTCCAGAAAAAAAACAATTTTTTTTAGATAGTGACCTACCTGTGATGGGAAGACAACAGCARTTAGGGAATGGAAAAAGCTTTTGAATTATTGGATGAAAGAGTTATAGATGCATAAAAATCCATCCCWCTTCTGACCCCACCAGCTGTTTTTTCATGTAATAGGGCTCCATATCACACTTTTTTTGCTTTATAAATTGGGTACCCTGAAAATGAGCTTTCTGCAGAAGACAATGGAAATTACAGTCACGAGAAGCTTTTCTTTAAAAGTTACAGAAATATTTCAGAAGAGTAGTCAAACGCAACTCTAAGATAGTGTCATAATTATCTCATAATTAGGTTAAAGATATAATCCATTTGAGACCAGCAGAGCACCAAACTCAGAACCTCTCTAAAAGARGGAAGAGGAAGAAAAGAACAGCAGCAGTATTTGATAGCTGAAAAGAAATACCTGTGATATCTCTGTATTTCAATACAAATTTCAATCTATTCTCCCAGACAGTACTTCCAAATGATTACCTTTCTTGTGACCCTGAAGTATGCTGTTATCAGACTCATTAGCATCATTTTCAGAAGAACAATGGCTGTGTAAGTAGCATAAGCCCGGAAGACTTCATTGTCAATTAACTGGGTCAATTTAGCCATTTTTCCCCTTCTCACTGACGACCTTTAAAAAACATTAAAGTTAGTTAAAGCTAACATCATTGCAATCCAAAGTTCTGACAAAAACATTGTCTTAATAGCCTTGTTTTTTAGCATCACTGCAATGACAGCAGCAATTTTGCCACTGTGGAAAGTTTCTTTTCAAACAATTTCCCCCCCTTTTTTTCCACAATAGCATAATATAACACCATAAGATGATAAATTATAATATTTTGCTTCCATTATAACTGCTTATTAAACTGTCAAAGTACAAACTACCAAAATATGTAATTTAATTGCAGAAACAACATTTAGTCACAGAAATTAGTACTCTTTTGAAATAACACAAGGAGTTAGACCAATTTTAAACCAATTAATTTGAACTAGCAAATTTCCCTAAGCAGTTACCAGAAGAGTGTGTGACAATACTATGAACACCACAGTATGTAAAAAGGAAAATTAGTATTGCCTACCCTTTTTTTGTGTGTAAAATGACAATTATAATTGCACTTGAGCTTTCAAACTAACCAGTATCTTCCTACCTAGCAGTAACTTGTGATCAAACTTAGTTGAGCATGTAGTTTTCCCCTTTGAGACCTTGTTCTTAAAAATTGCTATTAGCATGACTCACGGGCAAGGATTAAGTTGTAATGACAAAAAAGAGAGGACTGTTTCTGCTTTTACCATGGGAGGTTTAAACTAATGAAGTCACATTCCAATAAGACCGAACCAAACACACAATCCTATGGAGGCGATATGTTTTATCAACACGAGAAAGTTAGGGGGTGCTGAGGAGCGAAGGCATGTAAAGASCAAAACACATCCCCATGCACATTCAATTTTTGCCCTACACAGAACCAGGCTTCTGCATCACCAAGTGCTTCAACCGTGAACTTAGTGATTAGGAATCCATAAACCCAAAATGTCTTAACTTCACTAGAGACCGATTTTTTTTTTTATTTTTTTTTTTGTTACAGCTAACTTACTTCCCATGATATAATTTTAACAGTAGGAATAAAAATGTTAATATTCAATTGATTATTTTTTTTTTTTTTTTGTTACAGCTAACTTACTTCCCATGATATAATTTTAACAGTAGGAATAAAAATGTTAATATTCAATTGATTACAGTTTTAACAATCTCTCATCTTGCTTTCAGCACAGTCAGCTATTGCCAAACATGGGGAGCAATGAGCACTATAGAAGACTTGCTCTGAAGGCACATCCTTGGTGAGGAAGGGGGCAGGATGGAGGKAAGCACCTGTTTGCTCAGTGAAAAATCTAACCTTGCCTGGACACGTCTGCTGTGGTGATGCAATTTTGTTCCCTCTTTTATCCTTTCAAAAAAAATGCCAGGGTTGCTAGGCCGAGCACAGCGTCTACGGACAATGGGAAATTAATTCAGTGTAACTCTCCCTCCTCTCACAATACAGTCCCTTTCTCGAGATAAACAGCGACTTGGCGAAGACTTTTCTCAGAAATGGACAGCAACTGTTACTGCTCATTTTCACGATACTGTTTAAATGTTTTAACAGAACTGTTCCGCTACTTTTAACTTTGTATCGCTGCAAAAAGAATAGTGTTTCACAACAAAAATAAAGTCAATTCACCGCTTCAGAGCATTTTTCCCTAAGCTATGCTGAAAATATATCCAAGAATGATGCAAAGCCATGGGAAACTGTCCAGCAGCACCTTTGGCTGCATTTATCCATTTTTCCCGGCTGCACTGTGGCCTCTATGAACTCCAACAATGCCCAGGAGCTGCCTTCAACGGAAAATGAAAGTGGCACTGAACAACTCGGGATTTCAGCACCAGCAGAAAMGCAAAAACAAGCCCCAAATCGTCAAATAGCACAGGGGGTTAAGGGACATGCTCATTAAGATTACAAAAGGCCTGATCTACATGGGCAATAATAACAATAATAGTAGYAACAATAAGGATGTGTCTCTGCAGCCTCACTGCGCGGGCTGGCAGCAGGGGAGGGGCACAGCCCGTCCCACGCGTGTCCCGGGGCCGCGGGCAGCACGGCAGCACGGCGGCCACTCGTTTGTGCGTGTTTCAAACGCGACTTCTCAGGCGCGCTCCCGCCGCAGGCCCCGCTCCTGATCCTGCTCCTGCTCCCGCCGTTGGTTCCCGGCCCCGGCCCCTTGGGAGCTGCCCCCGCCGCGCCCCCGGCTCCCCCTTCACGGCAGCGCTCCCTCAGCACAGCCGCGTTCCCTCAGGACAGCCCCGCTCCCCCCTTCACGGCCCCGCTCCCTCAGGACAGCCCCGCTCCCTCAGGACAGCCGCGCTCCCCCCTCATGGCAGCGCTTCCTCAGGACAGCCGCGCTCCTTCAGGACAGCCGCGCTCCCCACTCATGGCAGCGCTTCCTCAGGACAGCCCCGCTCCCTCAGGACAGCCCCGTTCCCCCCTCACAGCCCCGCTCCCTCAGGACAGCCCCGCTCCCTCGGGACAGCCGCGCTCCCTCAGGACAGCCGCGCTCCCTCAGGACAGCCGCGCTCCCTCAGGACAGCCGCGCTCCTTCAGGACAGCCCCGCTCCCTCAGGACAGCCCCGCTCCCTCAGGACAGCCCCGCTCCCTCAGGACAGCCCCGCTCCCTCAGGACAGCCGCGCTCCCTCAGGACAGCCCCGCTCCCTCAGGACAGCCCCGCTCCCTCGGGACAGCCCCGCTCCCTCAGGACAGCCCCGCTCCCTCGGGACAGCCCCGCTCCCGCGCCGCTCCGCACCCGCGGCGGGTTCCGCTCCCGGGCGGTGACTGTGCGGCCACCGCGGAGCCCCCACACACCTCGGCCGTACCCGCGGCGATCCGAGCCCCGCTGCTGCCCGGCGGACACTGCGTCTCTGCCCGGCCCGGCCCCGCCTCGCCCCGCCGGCCGCGGAGGCGGGACCCGCCCGGGCCGCCCTCACGGAGCCGCGGTGCACCCGGGAGCGGCGGGTCAGGCCCAGGGCCCAGCAAACCCGGCGGAAAGAAAAGCAGAACTTATAAATACGAGCAAGAAAAAGCCGTCCTGTCCGAGCACCCTTGGACGGACGGGAGGAACTAAGGGCTGTGGCCCAGACAGGCGCTGGTAGTGACAGCAAAGTCCAGCGATTGTGCAAATTTCCAAAGCGGGCTCAAAGCTTACATAAAAGTTCCTGAAAGCTCAGTATTTAGGCCCCTCCGTTGTCCTGGTGGATCTTAAATTTTACCAAATTAACAGAAAAAAATTAAAAATGCTTATATTGGCAAGCCATTAGCGCTGTTCCAATAGATATGCACTACGTTGTTTTGCAAAGTGAAACAGAAAATAAAGGAACTCYGCAGCTGGCCCAGGCTTTTCCTACCAGTGCTACAATGTGATGAACAGAGAAAACCGAGCTTCCCAGTGCTTCTTCAGGGAGAATTATGCTATTCCCACAGCACTGCTCATCAACAGGAGCAATGCTTTTGGCTAACCAGCTCATAATAAGCAAGACTGAAGAAGATAGAGRTCAATGTACTCAGATGCCCAGCAAAGGTTTCAGAAATAATCCTAAAGATGTGTACAGAGTCAGAAAGGGATATGATTTTTAAATCTGCATCCTTGTGGAAAAATCTCTACTCTTAGGTACATATATTCAGCGTTCATTGATGTTACTTCTGTGTTTCATGTCATGTCCTGTTATGTCATGTCAAACACCTGTGTACCTCTTCTTAAAATYATAAAACACAGCAAAACCCATTTGAGGAAGAACTGTAGTATCAGAACTGTTTTTAAATGTTGGTAGGAGTTGGATTCAACAACTTTTGTGCTCACTGACACAGCAAATAGTGTTTCTGAAGTCACCAAAAACCTCAGATGAGAATGGGTGCATCCCAGGGAATGGATGTGTTTCAAATAACATGGAAGCATTTCTGCAGCTCATGACTTACCTCAAGGCAGGAATTGTATCTTCATACTGTCYTTTTTTTAACCACACCAAACAAATGTCATAAGCACATGATGCCACTGAAATAAAACTGTAGTTATCTTCTATCACCACCTTTTTGTCTGGCATTCTARTCCTTATCTAGTGTAAGTTTTAAAAACAGGTAAATCTATAAGTTAACAGTTAAACTAAAAACACGTTATATACTTGAAAAGAAAAGCTGGTAATTGATYTATACAAATTCTCAAAATTACACCTGGAAGCACCARAAAGTCAGGAGAAAGTTAATTTCCRATAGTTGTAGGTAGGATRTAAAAAGTACAAATACATCTAGAAAATCTACAATTTCCATGCTTTCCATTGGATTTATATTCCAGTTTTTCAGATTCAGGAAATTCAGGTTGATTTATGTGTCTTTAAAAAAGAGGCAATCACCTTGTTAATTTTTTCCTACCCTCTTTGAATACCCCTAATTCTGAGAAAGAAGATTAGGAGGAAGGGAGAAGGA